TAACAAATATATTATAAAATTTGGATTTCCTACTGTATCTCAAGATTTATATCTCATCCTCCTACTTTTAACTCACCTTTAAATTCTATTTCATATTCATCTCAATCTTCTCTTTCTAATTCAATTTATTCTAAAATTTACTCCTGGTATATACAATAGATCAAATACCAAACTAATCTTTCATACATAATTACTAACAACCAAATCTAGATGAGCCTTGGCCACTCCTGTTGGTTTAGATCACAGATAAACTAGTCTGAGCTTCTACTTTTTTTATAATATTTTTAATAATAAATTTATACTTTATATAAAAATTTCAAATAAATATTCAATAAAGATAAAGGCATGGCCTTACTATTAATATTAAAAAAAAATATATATATATAAAACAAAGGTATAACCAAATCAGAACACTATATTTTAGCTTTAACTAAATTTTTATTAAATAAAATCTCTATAACTTTTAGTTAACTTTCTAATAATAAAGCATGTAGCTATTTGAAATTAGCTATAAAATATTTAAATAGCCTAGTTTTACTTTTCTTCAAGCAATAACTGTTTTTTTTAATCAATATATCTAAACTTTTATATATCTAAACAATAAAAAAAGTTGCATTATTTAATATTTAAAAAATTTATTTTTAATAAAAATTTATCTAATACAAAACTTATTAGTCTAGTCAAACATATTAAAAAACTATTATCAAACTTCTTACTAATTGTCTTAATTTAACATTTATATAATATTTTATTTTATTTTATTATAATTATATTATTTTATCTGGCAATAGTATTTTTATTTCTTTATGTATACTTAATAATATTATTAAAAATACTAGTTGCAAGAATAAACAATTATAGATCTTGTTTTAAAATATAAGTAAGTATAAAATTTTTTAATTTAAAGTTTTTTACTAAGTCTCTTAAATAAATTTTAATACCTTAATCTCTTATTAATATACTTACTAATCTTTTCACTAATTATTAAAATTAAATTATATTCAATCTTGAACTTACTAATATTTATTCATTAAAAACTATAACTTTTCTATTTGAAAAAATCTATTATAATTCTCTAATCTATAAAATTGCTTCAAATTCTTAAAATATTTCTTATTTATATTTTAAAAAACCAATTTATATTTATTATAAATTCAAAATCTTAAAGCATCTGCATTAGTTTTAGTTTATATAAATGTCACTCTTTGATTGTATAGTCCAAAAAAAAACTTAATCAAATAACTAAAACTGCTACATTTTTTTATCAAATAACTAATATTTAAATTAATCTGGCTAAGTTTATTTTAGCTACAAATTTTTCTATTACTTCAATATGTTTTTCTAAATCTTTAATTATTTTATTACTTAAAATCAACATTTTAAATTTTTTAAATATTAGTTTATACATAACAATAAATAATCTTAAACTATTAAACTAATAAAAAAAGAAACTTTTAATCTTATTAACATTTTTAGTACAAAGAAAATTACTAACAAACAAATTGATTATATTATCAATACAGTTATTATTTCAATATTACTCTTTTTTGCATTATATACAATTATATTTTATCTAAATATCTTGCTATAGCAAAATACAAGTCTTATTTTTTCAGATCAATACAATGTTTAATCTATATTTTTATAATATTTATAATCTTTGAAATATTTAACTTCAGCATATATCTTTAATTATCTTTACTAAATTAACAATCTTAATCTTTTTAGCATTAGAACTTGAATTATACTTCAATAGTTACAAAGAATTTATAGTCTTTTATTAATATTTTATATTAATCTAAACTTATTATTAATAGTTTTAATAAAGATTTATTAAATTTTAAATTATTTAACATCTTATTTACTTTGATATAACTATTTTAGCTAACTTTAGTTTGATATAACTTTACACAATTAGTAATAAAGACCAGTTGCTAAAACTAATTTTATTACAGTATTCAAAATATTTAACTTTTAAAAAGCAGTCTAGATAATCAAATATTATATAGCTTGAACAACTTTTATAGCTAATAATAATATTTTACTTAACTGAAAACATCTTTTATTCAGATTGTTTATAATTATCTAAAGATAAAAATTCTTTTTGGTTTTTATTTAAAGAACACAATTCTAGCATACTTCTACTACTGAAATATACTACTATATTATTAATTATCTATTATAATTCTTATATTTATTATACTATTAATATATCTAAAAAATTTATAAAATCTAAACTTTGGTTACTTTTATATTACAATAAAGAATTTATTATTAAAAAATATAAAAATATTTCCTTTTATCTAATCATTATTTTATTATTTATTCAACTTTCAATATAGATCTAAATTACTTAAAATTTTATTCTTTACTTTCTGTTAAATATAAATAATGTACTAAATGTTATCTTAATTTTTATGGAATTAAGAAATTTGTACTGTTGAAGTTTTTGCAGTTATCTTAATACAATTTCTTGGCAAAATCAGCTATATTATTAATTAACTTTAATGCAAATTACTTAATTTTATTTACTCTACAGCTGTTAAGCACTAAACTTATATACCTTTTTTATTTACTGTTTTTTTTCAACTTAATTGCTTTTAAAATTTTGATTTTAAATAAAGCTATTAACAAACTTATATCTATTTCATATTATAATTACTTTTGGTACTAACTAATATATAATGGGTATTAGTTAAATCTAAGTTAATAATCACAATTACACTATTAAGTCTTTTTTTATTAATATACAATTTTGATTCTTATTATACAAAGCTAAGCTTTTCTTAATCATTATTGTAATTTTAATAGTTTTTCACAATTATATTTTATTAATTCTTAATTAGTAATCTCTAAATTTAATAACCTTCAACTTGACTCAACTCATTCTAGTAAACTATTCAAATTTAATTAATAATCTATTTGGCATACATTTTTAAAAATTATTAAAATATATAAACTACAAATTATTTTTTATAAAATACAAGTTTATTTGGATAATTATCTTAATATTAAGCAAATTCTTTTGACAAAAAATATTTATTATTATTACTTCTAATATTTAATTATATAAATCTTTATAATTCCTATTATAATTATTAATAAAAATAACATTATATAGAACTTTTTATAAAATATTTCATTAAGTAAATCTATAAAGCTTAATTTTAGCTATATAGATATTATAAAAACATAACAATAAGTAATTATACTTTAATCAGAATATTGATTAGAATATACTTAACTTTATTTTAATTAAACTAAAAATCTTTATACTATATTATTAATTTTAGACTTAACTAATCAAAATTTTTTAAAATCAAAAATTTTTTTTAATGAATTGCCAACATATTTATTATATTATATATTTATCCAAACCAATACCCAGGCACTATTTGCTTTTATTGTAACTTACTAAACTCTTATTCTACTAATGCGCTTGTACTGATCTATACTTGTGTAACTAAATTATTCAACTTTTACTAATTAAATTGTTTTTGATAATTTATCTAACCTTTGATACTCAACAAAAACATAATATAATTCATAAAATTCTTCATTATTCAGCTCTTACTTCTTTATACATATTATTTAATACATTATGTTCTAATATTACTCTTAAAAAACTTATTTCAAAATGACTTATATTAATAATTTATAAAATTCTTTATTATTCAACTCTTAATTCTCTATATATATTATTTAATACATTGTGTTTTAATATTATTCTTAAAAACTTACTTATATTAATAGTTCAAAATTCTAACATCTCATATAAAACCATTTCTTAAATTATTATTGACATTCTTATTAACATTAATAAATAATCATATGAACAATTATGAAAAACATGTTGCATTCACTTTTCTAATTAAAAAAATTAACAAAATAAACCTCAAACTATTAACAAACCTTCAACACCGTCTAACTTAGCTATTATACATCTATGCTCTCAAAAAGATTATACTTACTTATGTCTTCGTGAACTTTCTGATCAATTACATATACGCTCCAACATATGCCTTTCTATTGGCCAAGCAATTCACAAAATTAACATTTAGACCATTTTATGGATAAAGTTACATAAAATTACATAAAATAACTGCCTTTGCATCATAAATTTAAGACAGATGAAAAATTTTTTAATCGAATCGAAAATTACTGACATCATCAAACATTAAGCATTAGAAACTTATCTATTTATCTGCATGGACATTTGAAAATGCTGTCTCTGATTGGACAAGGTAGACTACGCCACTCTTCATCTACCAATCAAATTATAAGATCAGATGTAAGATAAGATTTTAAAAAAATCAAGGTTTTTTAAAATCAGCAATGACTTAAAATTTTGGTTATAAAATCATCTTTCGTATTCTAATAAAAAAAAATTTCTTGCAAAATTTTATTATAGTATATGTTTTATTAGACCTTTATGCCGCTTCAACGATTCTTCTATTTTCTGATCGAAAAGCAGGATTTTCTTCGTTCAATCGAAAGTGAGAGGAGAAATTATTAAACCAATCGATTTATTTAGCGGCAATGTTTTTATTGATGAAATCAGTTAAATTATGGGTAAAAAGAAATTTTAGAATCAAATTTATACAATAATTTGTTAAAAATTCAAGAATAATCATTTATATTTATATTCAAAACTGGTCTTAAAAAGAGTATTAATTTAAATTTTATTAATAAAGTAAAAACATTATATTATCAATAATTAGTAATTGCACATTATTACATTGGTTGAAAATTGTGCAGAAAAGCTGATCACATGTAATTTCTAGTTATAGTTTTAAAAAAAACCCACTCCAAAAAATGGACCAAGGTGATCAGCAAAGTTAGGATAGATGCTGAGTGAACAATGCTAGAATTATGATCATGTCAGTATTTAAATTTTCATCTACCTTAATAAACAAGAATTAAAAAATATTTACCTGATTATCATTTCCATCACATACAAGAGTTACTTGTGTATAATCTGTACTACTTGAATTTTGGATCTATACTTCACCTTTAGGTTGTACCCAAATTGGACAAGGAGGAACTCTAGAAACCAAATCACCTCCTGAAACGACATGGTTTATACAATCCTATTTACAAAAATTTGAGACATAATTAAAAATGTAAAAGTTGATTTATCCGGTATCATCGATGGATGCCAATTTTATGGTATTCTCAGACTGTTACACCAGTACCACATAATTTTTGGAACTCTTGCAGCATAGATAACACTATTAATAAATATATTATAAATCAATTGTTTTAGAATAGATGACATCTATATTGCAAGAGATTAAGTTTTTCATTGTTAAAAGTGATTAGTTTCAAATTGATAAATATCTCGTAAACTCCATATTTTAATCTGCAATACTGATGTATGAAGGTAAAATCAGACTTTTAAGTTTGTAACTTACAAGATTTTGTCAACCTAAAATCTGATAATAATGTCTTTGATCAGATTTTATAGGATAAATCTGGTAAGATATAATTTAAAAGCCCGAAAGCCAGTTTTTTTTTGGCAACTTTATATATATATTGTAAGTACAAACAAAAATTGGAATTTATTAGTTAAATTAGATACAATTTATTCTATACGTATAACTCATCCATACCTTGACCTAGAAATTCCAAATTCCATTTACACTTACAATTTATATACCAAAATTAAAAAGAATAAATAACCCAATTTGTATTAGACTTACTAATTCTTTATCAACATAATTAGCAAACAAATCATTTCCTCCACGTGGTATGTTAAACCCATAAAAACAGACCTTAGTATTTTGTGGATGATTTTGTTTAACATCTAGAGCTTGATATAATCCTAGAGCTAGAATGAAATTTGAAATATTAAGAAAAAAAACTGAATTGTAAAAGTGAAAATAAAATAATTATATATATATTACCTCCTTCTAAACTATGACCAGTTGATGAAACGGTAAAGCTTGGATATTTTTTTATTAATGAAGCCAATTCTCTTGTGAAATTTGATGATTGAAACAATTGCCAAGTGGTGAAAAATCCCTCACTAACAAGGATACCTTTATTAGAACTTGATAATTGGGAACCCTTAAATTTATATTTTACTAGATAAAGGAATCCATATCTGCTCTAAAATCTACCAAATCTTCAAAATCTGATCCTCTGAAGGAAATAACAATTTCTTTAGTCTGCTTATTAGCAATTATAAATGCGAGAAAATGAGTAACATTTTTATCGCCGATTGGAAACTCTAAAAATAAAACAAGGGTTAACATTTATAGATAGCCTATAAGATAAAACGAATAATTGACTTACATGATAATACCAAAAGGTTTTAAAAAAATAGGAATTAAATGACAAGTTATGAGACCTAATAATCATTATAAAGACAAATAATAATAGTGTGAACACTCACGGGTTTAACTTCAATGTTATTAGGATCTTTAGAAATTAGTTGACAACGTTTACAAGTCCAGCTCACTACTTCTTGTATTGCTGCGCCATAGAATAAGAAAGAATAGAGAGCAAATCATTGTAATGTTTTCACTTCAGAATCAGTTATATGTCTGATGCCTTTCTCATTGAAATCAGCTACAGTAAAGTGAACTACGAAAAATAATAAAAAACTAATAATAAATATTTTGGAACGTTTATTCATTATTTTTATTTATTATAGCTAATTTGAAGTAGTAAGTTTTATTGGTCTAACTTTTTAACATGAATATTTTCTTTTATAATTTCAACCTTTTTATAATATTTTTATTTATACCAATTTTTTAACTTAACCATTTGAATGAATAGTGTTGATTTAATTGATCTTAAATTTTGTAAAAGAATGAGAAAATCTATTATAATTTTTGGTATACGAATTAGAGGAACTGAAAATCGTAATATGGGAAATTTCGTATAAAGAAAGAGATATTTATATACATAATTTGCAAAAGCCTAGAATTTAAAAATACTGTAACGGTATAATTCAGTAATTTTATCATTTTGAGTAATGTGATGTGGTCACACAAAAAATTATATTTTAACTGAAGTTAGATTTACAATTTAAAACATTGACTTATTATATGTAAAATTGCATACATAATGCAAATGAACATATGAAACCAAAAAAGCTATCCAAATAAGGAAATGATCTAGCATATTTCTACCTGAGGTTATAATTAGTGATGCAAAGGAATTAATTCTACACAGCATACGGTTGTAGAATTAACGTCATTTCTACAATCGAATATTGAATCTCTTTATAATAGTCTGAAGTAATCTTAGGCCTATTTATATTGTTTGAATTTAATATTAGAGATTTACAAAATATCAAAAATGTAACTTTTGCTTTTAATGATTGGCAATTCTACAATTCTACAATTGTAGTACAAGTGTACATGTAGAATTAACAAAATTACAAAATTATTCATAATCTTCGATTCTACAATATAATTGTGGAATTACTAAAATTATTTATGATCTTCCCTTTCATCAATAGTTATAATTCATTTCTAACGTAAACTAGAGAAAAATTAATGACTTAATACGTAAAAAAAATATTTGTTTAACTCTTTTTTTGTGATCTGATTGGCTGATTTACAGATGACTTACTAAAAATTCATGATATTATTACGGCCCCTCCAGTTGTATATCAGATATGGGCCATCGAGAAATTGCGTTCACATGTTGCAACAAGATATAGTAAGAATAAGGTTGCATTAATCCAATCCCTGACTGAGAGCAATGCGACCTTAATTAGAAATCAATAAATCTGATAGTGGAAATGATATTTAATTACGAAACTTTTTCTTGGGTTTAGTATTTTTCTTTTTGAAAAAATCTCTTTTATAGTCTTATCTTGAAAGTGAAGAAATTCTTGCATTATTAATAATTAATTATTATTATATCTAATATCAAAAAAAAAAACTAATGAAACTTTTTTTATTTACTGTCACTATTCTTGCTTTGGCAAGTTTAAGGTCCTCAGGATTTTCTATACCGTCACTAAACAATTTATCACAACAATGTAAAAATACAACTTTAACAATTCTCTCGGAACGCGAATTTGCTGAATGTATAAACGTTCCTTCTCTTCGACCATTTTATGAAGAAAAAGTTATTAATGCAATTGGAAACTTATCGGATGATTTCGACAACAATATCAAAATTATCAGATCTTTAGAACCAGAACTTATAAAGGTTTCAAAAGGCTTTTGCAAATTTCGAAAATATTCGGATTGTTTTATTCAATCTCATATTGAATCTACTATTGATGCATGCCCAGAAGATCTTAGAAAAAACAATTCTATGGCACAAGCCATTTTTGCTACATTCGCTCTTTATTCTCCTTTGCATGACTCTATATGCTTTGAAAATAAAAAAGGCGATTTCTGCTAGGATGAATTTATTAGATCAAATTTTAGTTTATCTCATCTTAATGCAATCTGTACTGAATGTAACAGCGCCATTGTTAATACATTATTTGATTTTATTTCCAAAAATTCTTATGCTCAATTAATAATTTCCTTAGAGCAAGTAAATGAATATAAAAAATTTCTTGCTTTTGTATGTGATAATAACTTTGTCAGTAAGTATTATGAATTTATCTTCTTTGAATTTAAATTGTTTATGTAAATTAATTACTATTTCTTTAATAATAGATGGTACAATTATTGATCCAAAAACTGGAAAATATATTCATCCAACTAATGGAACCTGTCTTCTTACATCTACAACAAACTTTCTACCATGATTTTTGATCAGATGTTTCGACTGATTTTGTTATATTAGTCGCTACTAATTTTATAAGTTAATTTATTTGTTAAAAAATTGTTAATTTACGATACTATAGATAATTATTCAATGTATTAAGTCTATAATTTTTTTAATATGTTGATATTAATTGATTAATCGATTTTATATCGCTTCGAAATTGAAATACTGTATGTCAATCATAAATTTTAAAATAACGTAATAACTGAAATCGGTAAAAATTCATTAAATGTAGATATTACAAATTTTTAATTATGAATTTGTAATTATATAAATTTATGTCAAATAAAGTTTCGCAAAAAAAAAAGTAATAAAAAGAAACTATTTTGACACCGCCGTATAAACCATCTTCACATTCTTGTACATAATTAATGATTTCTTTGACAAGGACTAGCAATTGGTTTTTTTATAACAACAGGAATTAGGTCAATTTCCGAGAAGTTATATTATTTAAGATTAAATTGTTTACAATAATGTTAATTGAATTTATTAAAAAAATTAATTTTTGCATATTGGTTTAGAAAACATTCAAAAGCTCGTCTGGTGATGCACTCAACTTGTCATAAGATGTAACAAAAAAATTAATTTTTGCATATTAGTTTAGAAAACATTCAAAAGCTCGTCTGGTGATACACTCAACTTGTCGTAGGATGTAACAATATCTTACACGAATTTTTAAAATGTGCGTCTTTGAATTATCTCTTGCTTGCTTTACTAAACGAAGCTTTTCAAGTATAAAGAGTTTGAAAGTAGAATACAATGTTTAAAATTCAGGCAATGCAGATTTGGATCTTTTTTTAATACATTCAAATATTCATAATAACGACTTCTATCCATTAAATAGCGTTTATTTATCCTTTGTATAATCGAAGGATTTGATCGGAAAAGTTTCACGATCCAAGAAATTATATCGTTGCAGTTCCATTATTATTATTGAAAATTTTTCTTATTTGTATTAATACGATAAGAAGTTATCAATTTTTGAATCACTGTAATGAGTTAATAACTAACTTCATTAAGAACTAACCTAAGTTATTTTTCAATCGTGTTGAGATTGAAAAATCACACGTTGATTGAGAATTGACAAATTATGTAATCGATACAGAACACCTCTACCTATAACATCTTTACTTCATAACTACTTTATAACAAGCCATACAATATGTATAAACACTTTTAATGATTGCTTCTAGATCATTCTTCCATTGACTAGATATTATTTTTAATTAAATATCTATCCAAGTGTAATACTTGCAAATAGAAAAAATCAGTATAAACCATGATCGACAAACCCATTAAAGTTCGAGGTAGCTAAAGAATATAAAGAATATAGACAAAAGTTTGTTTGATTGGCCGATGCAAATAAATTGCCTGGGTAGCTTATTTAAACACTTAAAGTACTTAATGAATAAATAGCTTTACTAAATTTGAAGCTGTTGATTTTTAAAAGTGCACTGAATACACAATGGTTTGGCCTGCATTATTCATCTGATCCTACCCAGAATTGGTCAGCGTTAGAGTATAATATAGGCTGACTTGAGAATTCTAAATTATTCGAATTTTTTCTTTAAATTATAAAAATCGCATGTTTTATGGGCTTTAAGGTGAATTATGTGAATATTATTCCAGATCATAATCCTGGACATCAAAAAATGTCACTGTCATGTGACGATCGATGTTAATTGATAGATTATGTCGAAAGCAAAATTTAGCGCAAGTTTTAATTTACTTGATATTCAAATGTTTTATGTAACTAAATTTTGTGTTGAAAACTTTTATTTAGATAATTATCATAGTTAAATCTTGAGTTATTCTGTTTTCTCAATTTTTTTTCAAATTTTTTAAGTTCACAGTGCATCACAATTTGAGGAACCAAAATTCTGCAGATCGACCTATCCGGAAAATTAATTTAGTGAACCGATCTTTTTAAGGATTTGTGGACCGTCAGTAATTTAGCATTCCAAATGCGCGTGAGCTGCTTTTGCAATTTTTAGGGATAAAATTTTGATTTCATCTGATTCTATTTATAATTCATATCCAAGTTAAAATATAAGTTATTTTAATATAATTTGAATTTTATGTTTTAAAATAAAAATTTATATACTTAACCTCTTTTTTAACTATCATATTTAGGAACAAGTAATCGATTAGTAAGTGTAAAGCTATACATAGTAATTTCTGTTTACATAATACAGCCTAAATCCATTTTATTAGTATTAATTTAGTCTGTAGATATAAAGAACAGTTGGGCTGCTGTCAATAGAAATCAAGCTGATCGACATTTTTTTTTTAAAAAAAACTAATACCTTAGTTTTCATCACTCATGTCTTAGCAAATTTCGAAGCTATTCACATAATTTAATAGTCAAAAGAAAACTTAGATCTTAAGCTTTCTTTTTACTATTAAATCATGAGAATAGCTTAAGATATAAACATCAAAAGTTAAGGCATTAATTTTTTTAAAAAATTTGGATCTGATTGATTCCTAATGTCAGCTGCACATTTATTAATTTAAATAATTAAATACTCAGGTTAGCGGATATTTAATTTTATTTAAACATCTGGAAGCAAAATTCTAGATCGCTCGAGTTTTATGTTTGTAAAATTCGTTTGATGCTGATGATGAGATTGAAATAGGATCAGTATATAAACTATAAATAGAAAATAAAGAGAAGAACGATGAAAATTATACGATGGAGAATAAGCTAAAGTAATGTAAAGCCAGAAGATGGAACGTATAAGTTTGGATGCCACAATCGAAGTCGAAAAGAATGAGTAAGCCATTTATTCATTATCAGAGATAGGCCTCCGCTTGAGCCGAAATTGTATGTAGAATAACAATGACAAATCCACTTTATGATAACAGGCTCCATTTGTACTTCACTCATGCCTGTTGCCAGTAGCAGGCCTTTAAAGTCAGGCGGGTACGGGCTATTCCACATACTGATTTCGGCTCAAGCACCAATTGTGGAACACAGTTTTTATAGCCTCCAAAAATTCAGAAATCGCACGGGTAATTTTGTGGAGGCCTATGAATCAGAGGTGGAGAATGCTAATAAAACATCGAAGTGGAGCTGGGATAACAAGAAAGCATTTGAATGTCATCATGAGTCTCTAACGTGGCTGATATAGGTAAAATATATGCTACACAATGCTGTCGATATAATGGAGGCATAGTTCGTTCCAGTCCTTTGCTTCATTATATCAAAAGCTCCGTAAGATATCAGAAATATAGGAAATCATGCTTTGGTTATATTCTAATTCTCCGTATTAAGAAATATTCATTATATTGATGTACTAGACATTGTTATGAAAATGAAATTGGTGTTAAGAAGAATAGTAATCAAGCATTTAGTTATTACCAAAAATTGGCTGATATTGGTCATGTGAGTAGGTTATATAGTTTCGATCATTGTCATAATGGAGGGATTAATGCAAAAAAGGATGAACCCGAGGTGTTTTTCAATGTCGTATGTTGAAATAGAATCATCCAAAGGTTGTAATCTATCTAAGTTAGAGATGGGCAAAATTTTTATTTATTCTTACATATTATTACATATTTCAACATATTCTTACAAATTATGATAAAATTAATACATTAAAATAAAAAAGACTTCAAATTCAATATATATATATATATTAATTAAATTTAAATTTTTAGCGGCAAATTCAATTTATCGTATATAATTAATGATTAATCTAATGATTAAACACTATTGAGATTTTCTAAAGCTAACCAATCCTCTAAAGTTTTTTATGTATAGCTTGAATAGAAGATTCGTTTACAGCTTCATTTTATATAATTTGATCATTAGTATTAAAATTATCAATGTTTTCAATCGTTTGCATTATTTTTTTTTAAGTTGTTCTTTCAAATTTTCATCATTTTCCACATTGTCAAATTCAATATCTGACACAGTATTTTCAAGACTTGTTTCATTAGAATTAGTTGTATTAGTTTGAATAATTTAATCAAGCCTATTTCTTTATTTTGAACAATATGATGTAAATCATTTCTTTTCTGTGCAATATGCTATCGAATACATGTTATTTTTGTTGCATGTTTATTTGTAAGTTTGTTACACTATAGTGAATGGATATTTGCAATAAATAATCAGAACCTTTCACTTTTAGCAGAAGTAGGTGGTATTGACATAACTCATGCAGCAAAAATAGCTAATTCTGGAACTTCATCTTGAAAATTATTCCAGAAATATACAGGATTTTAACTAAATAATCATTCCAATTGCATCAAAATCGAATGGATATGCTTTATTATTCCAATCAATCAATTGAATTCTAAACTTTTTTTTTTTTTAGGGATGGGGTCCTGTAGCCTAGTGGTCTAGGCACCCCTCCCTCCACAGACAAGGTCGACGGTTCAATCTCAGCTGGAGGCAACTCTGTAATCTACGGAAGCATATAAATGTACGCGAAGCCCTGTGGCTAAGTCCATGTGATTAGAAGATCGGTGTA